GAGACGACCAGCCCTCTGGGCCAGGGGGCACTGGCTCACCCCTGGCCGGAGGGTCTCCTATACGCTTTTCCACTGCTACCTCTGATTCCTTCAACGCTTCAGAGAGTTCTTCACGAGGGTCACAGGATTCTGCTGGTGGCCCCCTTCTGGCCAGCGAGGACATGGTTTCCTCTCCTGCACAGACTCTGTTGCGGCGTGCTATGGCGACTTCCCGACAGACAAGACCTACTGTCTCAATGAGGTCGGATTTGGCATCCCAATCCTCGACGCCTCCTACTGTACGTTTGGCTGTTGGAGGGCCCGAACCGCTGCTGAGCAGCTGTGTGGACCCTGTGAGGCATACCATCTTGATTGCCAGAGCTACTCGGCTGCAGTATGACAACAGGTGGAAGTTATTTTCTGAATGGTGTGAGGGCCAGAGTGCACATCCAGTACATTGTTCTGTGCCTTCTATTCTGGAGTTACTGCAGTTTCTTCTGGACAATGGTCGGTCTCCTTCTACCCTGAAGGTGTACGTGGCAGCGATTTCATCTAGACATGCTGGAGTCAATAATGGCACAGTAGGGAGCCACAGTCTGGTGTCCCTCTTCCTCAGGGGAGCTCAGAGGTTGCATCCCTCGAGAGCTCCAAGAGCTCCATCATGGGACCTGCCTCTGGTGCTGGAGGCTCTAGGCAGGCCTCCCTTTGAGCCGTTGGCACAAGCAGGGCTGAAGTGGGTGTCATACAAGACCGCATTCCTCCTGGCTATTACCTCAGCAAAACGCGTCAGTGAGCTGCACGCCCTTTCTGTCAGCGACTCGTGTCTGAGGTGGAATTCAGGTGGTTCAGGTGTAACTCTATGGCCGAATACAGCGTTCCTCCCAAAGGTGTTGTCACACTTGCACCTCAACCAGCCTCTACGGCTTGCACAGTTTAACCCTCCACCAGGAGAGGGGGGGGGACAAGCCGGAACTGTTGTGCCCTGTGCGGGCCCTGAGAGCTTATATCACGGCCTCGGCATGCATTCGGCGGTCGGAACAGCTCTTTCTCTGTTTTAGTGGTCCTAAGAAAGGCTGTGCTCTCTCCAAACAGCGACTGTCCCACTGGATTGTGGATGTCATTCGCCATGCATATGGGGCAAGTAACCGTTCTTTGCCACCAGGCGTGACATGCCACTCCACCAGGAGTGTCTCTACGTCATGGGCTGCCCTGAGAGGAGTGCCCTTAGAAGATATCTGTGCTGCAGCTTCGTGGGCCTCATCAGGAACATTCTCACGGTTTTACAGGGTGAATGTTGCTATCCCCCATCCACTGGGTGTGGTGCTGTTGCCGGAGTCCTCTGATTCTACTCGTTAAGGTTTGTAATCAGGATTCCTCGTGACTTTGCTGGTATAAGTCATTCAGTGCTTAAAGCAC